AAATTCCATTTGATTATGCCAACAAAATGTCCCTAGGAGATTTATTCCTGCATCAAGAAGCATTTACCCTATCAAGAAGTTCTACAAGCTACACTCACTTTGTACTTCTCAACAGATAAAATGACGAAATAATACACAGACTTTGAAAAAATTTTTTTCTTGGGGTATTACATAATTCAAATTTTCATTTTAACAATATAAACCAGGAGTGTACGTTTAATAGCTTACAGTAACAAAATCCAGTGTCTCTCCCCAGCATACTTAAACATATAAAATACTGACTCTGTATTTATATAAAAGACCTTTACTTAATGTTAACATAAATGTTTTCAAGAACTTCTCAAATTGTCAGGTTTGTTTTTATCATGCTTTTTGTGAATACAGCAAGCAAGATATTTAACAGCTACTGTTGAACAATCATATCCCTTTTCTACTGAAACAGGACACTGGCACATATGAGAAGCTCTCCAGGTATTATTCACAGAGAACTTCAAAACAACAGAGTCATTTTGAACATTTTGGATAACAAGAACATTCACTTTTAGCTTGTGCAAGAATATTGACATAAATTACAGTGGTATAGGATAAAAGTTATGGAGAAAGGATAAAAGTTACGGAGAAACGACTGCAGTTACAGGGAAGCAGGAGACATCACGAACAACGTGAGCACACTTCAGGTAACTTGTAAAAAGAAAATTTGTGAAAGTGTGTGCGGATGCAGCAGATACTCCTGTCAGATCAACACAGTCAGATGTTGGATACTTAGCGAATATTTCTGGTTAGCCCACCCTTCCACCTTAAAGAGGCAAAGAAAACAATACACACCAATGGAAAAATCTCGCTGTTTCTAAGATGTCTTAACACTGCAATAAAGTATCAGTGAAGGAGCTTTCATCAAGGAATACAGCTGCTCTTTCAAAATAAGACACACTCTTGTGTGTATATACACCCTTCTACATAGCTATTTACATACACCTACAGGAGACAAAAAGACCAACATAAAATCACATATGTAGGTAACTTCTTACCAAACGTATTAAATTATTTCAAGAAATTAAGAAACATTATGTAAATTCTTGTCTTTCGAAATCATTGCCTTGAGAGAGTAATATAAAGTTCAGGGAATATACTTCTGCACAGCCCCTTCAATGCATTTTATATATCTTCCTACAAGAAAATTTTCAGGGGAAATAAGCTACCATCATGCAAGTCATTCTCTGCTGTTTTTACAATTCAAAACTTCTAGATGGGAAACATTATAATTTTGTAAGTACATTAAAGTACATGCGTTTTTTGCTGACAGAGTAATTAAATATTTATTGGGAACATAAAAGTAAATATTAAATGTAAAGACACAACATAAATGCAGTTTGAATTTCACTTTTAACAATCTAAACACTTACCTGAAGATTGGAAAGACACTTTAAACAAGGCTAGCCGATCAAGATATCTTTAGGTTAATTCTATTTATAGGTCAAAGTTAAGGTAATAAAAAAAGTCTAAATACTGAAAAATAAAAAGGAAGGCAATGTATCTAGAATTTTATCACTAGCTGGAAGTTAATTTCAGTGATGTCTCTTTGAAATTGCTTTAAATTTTGCAATTTCATTATCTCAAAACATTGTTTATCTTCAGAACAATTACTTGATATTTTCATGACAAAATTTATTGTGACATATGAACAACCACTCACTCAATTATCTTCTAAAGATGTGGGTTAAGAATTTCAATAAATCTAGTGTCCTTTGCAATGTGTTGCATTACAACAGTAACACCCCAGATAAGAGGAGGTCAGGCATCTAGACTCCTACTGCACAGTAATTACTTTATGACCTAAATTTTTGGTGCAGCATAGTAATTTTAATGATTAATTTTCAATTCCAGTATTTTTACTTTTGCCCTTCTTCCCATTCTGAACATTCTGCTATCTATTTACACAAACATCCACAGGCCAAAATAACTGCAAATTTCAATTATCAGGAGAAAAATGGTATCTGCTCCAATCTTTCAATGCACTTTTCCTCTTCCATCCTCCATCTGCCACTGTCAGATTAACAGACTGATAAACAAAGCCAATCTTTCTATTTGATTTGACTGCTCATCCTGCACGTTTTCCTCTTCTTTTCCACATTCCTGACCTCATCAAAGTTCTGGCCTACAGGTCAAATGAGACCCAGTCACCTGCTCATTTTTTTCTAAAAAGCTGGAAAACCAGTCTGCTCCAAATGGCCCATGCATACAGGAACTCAGTGAACCACACCTCGGTGACTGCGGGAGCTTTTTGTGAGTTGCCAAAATAACTCAGAGAGGATATTACATTTGGATAGCTGTCCTAGCAGGCAGAAAGGCAAAGTCCCTATAAATTCCTAGAGATACTATCCTTAAATTCTCTATATAGTCCTATACATTAGATATATATTGGACTACCTCTATATAGTCACTACATAGAGGAAGTGAGCAGCGGGTGACTAGGTACACTTCAGTTGGGGTTCTCATCTAAGTCCCCCTCTAAAGAAGCCTCTCTCTCAGCAGTTGTGTAGATTGAACCTAGCATCTTCAGGCCAACTGGTCGTTGTGAATGTCATGGTGTAACAGACTTCATCACTGTTGGACATGTCTTACAAGCAGCTAATCAGTATAAAAATAGAACACTAAGTTTTAGCACCAGAACTATTTACTTACCTTTTCCCACTACAATTACTTCGGTTCAGTCCTCCAACTTGGTTAACTGCAGACCATGCTGTGAGACCTACATATGGTAAGGAGGCAGCTTCTGTGTGACTGAGACACTTTGGCTTAAAAGACACCTGGAATAAAATCAATCGTATCTAAGTCACACAGCAGATCCTACGTGACACTGAAATATTTAAACAAGCTTTACTGAATTGCAGATTGTGTATTCCACATTTTCAACTATCTTCACAACTAGCTGGAGTCTAAATCAATCCAAGCACCAAGAAACAAACAGTTACTTAGATACTGAAGAAAAAAAATGCCAGTCTTTACAATTTTGGGGTTTTGTCTGTTAGCCACATTTTTAAAGGTTTACCTCGTTTCCACTAGCTACCACAAACTCTGACAGAGTGCCCTGTTTCCATGGAGGAATTGCTGCCCACACCTAAAACCAAACAGAAAACAACTATCAGCTTTTGTGACTTTGCACATGGTTGTACCTACACAGAAAAGTTTTCTTCATTAAAGAAATCTTTTTACCAATTTGCAGAATGTCTTCACTATTGCTTATCAGAAACCAGTTATTAGCTTACTCTTTACCTAAAAAACATCACAAGACTGACTAAATAAAGGATTGCAGAGCTATGTAAATAAATTGTACCATACTGTGTATAAGACATAATTTTTCAAAAACCCCAAACTACTTCCATGCCAAGAAAGCCCAGATTGGACGGGATGGGGAGGGATCAGAATTTGCTATACTAAAACTGGTGAAACGTGAAAGCAACTGGTGAAGATGAAAGCAAACAATTTACGTGGGGACTTACAAAGTGGTTCTTGGGTTATGCCAGAGTTCCTATCCTAAGTTACTCAAGGAAAAAACCCAACTAATCCCTTCTGTTAGAATTCTATCTACAGTCAAAAATGAAGCAGCATCTTGAGTGTGCACTTATAAATAAACTCCTCTCTGGCTACCACTGAAATGGACCACAAATTAAAAAACAGAAGGGAAATTAACTTGCCGAAGCAAGTCTGGGAGAGACCGTATTTTTCACAGAAAAAAGGTAGGGATGAAAGCATTCTAGGAATTTACTGTCAGATAGTCCTCATTCAGAGTGCAACAACATTAAAAAAAAGAATTTTCTTAAGAGGAAAATGAAAGCTGAACATCTCATAGTATATCTTAACTATACATTTGAGAAAAAGAGATTGGTGGTATCACCTCATCTCCAGGTTTGAAATAAGACACACTTAGTCCACACTCCATAACAACACCAGAGACATCTCGACCAAGTGTTAGTGGAAATTCAGTGTCCGCGCTTTTGAGTTTCAGGGGATCCCGCTTCATATTTAACGCAGTTGCACCATAGCCACCTGCAAAACATGAAATTAACCATGACATACCATACTGAATTTTCATTTATTAATTGGACAATTCCAGTTAGAAAGCATTGTCTGCACCTAACATGCCTCATTTCTGTTATAACTTAAGCATGCAAAAAATCTGCAACATTTTATACTTTTACAGATTTTACGAATAAAGATCGAATCTCATTCTGGCTTATTTGTCCATGAAATTGCTCTCCATTATAAAAATATTTAGTATGTGATAACACTGTCAGAAATTCTAAGTCTGCTGGAAATGCTCCATTTTCCAACAGCATCATGTAGCTACAAATCCAAAAGAACTCCAAGCTTTCCATTTGTCTTTTCAAATAAAGTACTGTAAAAAGCAACATGAACACGACTGTAAAAAAATATTAAGGCACATCTCCTAAGATGAGTAACCTGAACTTCTCTTCAGTAAGCAACAGCTAAATGCTGCAAACTCTCAGAATTACCCATCTAATAACTCTGCTCAGCCTAAAAAAAAAGTCTGCATTCAGACATGTATGCCCTTTCAAGTGTTTGGACAAGCCTGCCTACATGCCCTATTATGCTAGAAAATGCTTTAATGCTGAAGAGAAAAGAAACAGACACAAAAGCAGGCACCTCGAAAGCAGCATGAAAATGTAGTTTCTTCCAAATACTTTTACACTGACTCAAAATACTAATTGCAGCCCAGCAGTTCAAGTGGGTCATTCAACAGGAATTCTCAGCAAATGTCCCATAAGCAAACCCAGAACTATATACAAAGATTTTTAAAATTTCATTTATTAGAGACCCAAAATGCAAATTACAGCTCTGTCGGCAGGCTTCCTGCAGATATCTCTGCACGTGCTACTGAATCTGATTTGATATGCAAGATCACTTCTCAACATGAAATATAAGGTCGTCTACTACCACAACTTCCTTCTTGTGTTTCGAACCTTGAAACTGAGGAAAAAATCCGATTAAATGTGTGAAATACAAAGAGTTTGTCAGTGAAAGATACAGATTTCCTGGGCAAGATGACAGCAGGTACCCAGATGCCAATTCAGGAAGAAAAGGCATGACAATGAACAACACAGTTTGGATTAGGTCGCACGTGCCGGCTTTGCGGCCACTTTCGAACCTTGAAACTGAGGAAAAAATCCGATTAAATGTGTGAAATACAAAGAGTTTGTCAGTGAAAGATACAGATTTCCTGGGCAAGATGACAGCAGGTACCCAGATGCCAATTCAGGAAGAAAAGGCATGACAATGAACAATTAACAGTTTGGATTAGGTCGCACGTGCCGACTTCGCGGCCACTTTGACCTTCAGCCCCATTCACCTCAAAGAGACAGGAAAATCCAGCACCTCTCAGGGGGAACGCTGCTCCTTGGGAGGGCTAGTCTCTTGGTCAAGAGAGTACCACCACCCAGGTGGTGGGGATGGGGGAGAAAGCCAGGAAATAAACCCCACCGTGGTCATGCTACTTACAAAAGGAAGCTGACTGGCGAGCTGCAAGCCTGCGGAGGACAGCAATTAGTCACTCAGATTAAAAGCTTACCCCCGCAACACACACGCTCTTGTCTTCAGAAAGGCTTTTTGTACTGTTCTTCCCTAAGAACTTGAAAACAGTAAGTTTCAACGAGGCGGTTGCCCACAGGGCTCAGGGCTGCTTCGAGGCGGCCCT